AATGGAAAACTATCTATAATCGATCATTCACGCCACGCCACGGGACTCTTGGCAACTTCGTGTCGCAATATCTCTGCCCAATTACACTTTATGGCGATTTTTTTTATGACGATTCAGCTCTCCTTTTAGTTTTGCCGAGTAATCACAGATGTCGCATTTAAAAGGTTTTAGGCTGCTATGCACAACTGCATGCTGTTTCAAAAAAAATTTTCTTTTGAAACTCTTATTACACAAGTTACACTTGTATGGTCTAAGATCGGAGTGAATCTTTTCATGCTGAATCAGGGTGTCCTTCCGGGCAAATTCACCTGGACATGATTTGCACTTAAACGGTCGATATGTTGAGTGAACTGAGGCACAGTGAACTTCCAAACAATTCTTAGTCTTAAAGGTATTATCGCAAAAAGAACACTTGAACGGTCTCAAATCAGAATGACTCAAAAAATGCTTTAATAAGCGAGATTTTTCGTAAGAGCTGTAATCACACATGGTACAATAATGCAGATTTGTCCGATGCGTTTTCATGTGCCGTTTCAATTTTTTTTCAGATTTGAAACCCGCTGTACAAGCCGAGCAAGGATATGATGAATCCGATTTACTTTTTCCGCAAGTATCCACTGAATGTGATTTTAAACTTGATTTTTTTGTGAACACACTACCACAGGCGTTACACCTGTAGGACTGCTTATTTGAGTCTTTTGATTTCTTATCAAACTTTTTCTTTATATGGTACATCCAATGCTTCACAAATTCAGATTTTTCTTTAAAAGATTGTTCGCACTTTACGCATTTGAAACGGTCCTCGTCCGGTTTTTCGCTAATCTCATCTTCGACTTTTGGTTGAGTTGATCGACACGCAGTTCTGGCACGAGGCTGGATCCGCCGAGATGAAAATTCCCTGAAACAGATAAAAGAGGCATTGAGAAATAAGGGAGTAAATCTAGGAAGCCGCCCAACAGTTGGAGTTGTCCCTAGTGGCAATAACTCTTCAGAAAATCTGGGGGAAAAAATCTTTATGGGTCTCAGATACAACGCAGTAGACCTGTCTTTTTTTATATCTTATAAATACTTAAATTTTTTCAAAAGAAAACTTATCGAAATATCTCCTCAAAATTGTCCGCGAATATTCTTGAATGATGGAGGAAAGTTCAAAGAAAATTTCGAAACAGACTTTATGTTTGATTACTGCAAAAAAAAAGAAAAAAAATATACTGTGAGCAGAGATTTGTGACGGCGCAATCGGAATAAATACACGTTTTTCGAATTCAGCTATCGACATAGCGATGTTAGCGGATGATGAGAATACGCGATACATATTTATGTATCGACGCTTGGATGCAACTGTTACTGCTCCGCGGATGTCCGCATTGCATATTCGAAAAATTGAAGGCGTTTCGACTTTCTGTGTATCGCATTCACAATTGCAACAGCGCGGTAACACACATGTGTACTGTACGGTTAAAGGCCAAAGTGAGGGAAAAGTAGGTAAGTTTGTTTTATCGAGAGCAACTGAAAAAAAATAAGGTAAAAGAAGAAACTTTTAGAGACCGGGTTGATGGCGCAAAATTTAAAAACGGATGTAAACTGCCTGCTAGGCTTGGAAATAATGGTTTAAGGACAACGATTTTTTGTCCGTGCAACTGTTTTGTCCAGTAGTTGACGCCCACGCGTAAAAGCAACAGTGACTTGGTCCAGGCGTTTTATTTGAGTCTGCATGAAAAGTTATATTGACGTTATCGAAATGAGGACATCGAGAGAGAAAGAGGTGTTGTTGTGGAACTCAGTTTTTAAATTAAATATTACATTCTTCTTTTGATTCATCGTCCTTTCAAATTGTCATTGGTGAATATTTGGTTTTATTTCGATCCTTAAAATTTTCGATACATAATATACCTTATATATACTTTTTGGCGCGTATACGTAGTATACCGCCTTTGCGATCGTTTCGAACCCTGCTCGATACAATAACCGAGTCCCTTAGTTCCTTACCGAAAAGTGACTACCGCGAACTTCTGAGATTTTCCAAAGCGTGTAAAAAGTTTATTTATCCATCAATAATTATGATTTAAAGTTGTTTCTCATTCTGGGGCTCATTAGTTTATGTGCAGTGAATACCAAGAGTCTACGTTACTTGGTTTTTTCAAAAAAAGCCTAAGAATGCGACGCGCTGATTTAAAATATGCATATATAAGCAGAATCAAGCGAATTGATTCGAGGATGGCTGAGCAGGTCGGCACTCTCGAAATGAGAATTTAACTCCTCCGTTTTGTTCAAAACGTTGCTTTGACAGATCTGTAACCTCGGTTAAACTTTCCAAAAGTTGGTACCCGTGCTCTGATACTGCAATCTGTGTAAGTGCAATCTGTGATGAGCCTCGAGACTCATTAGACCATTAGCTAAACGTGGCTCATACAGGAATCCACTTACCCCTCTCTTTCCCACGCTCCTGCTCACTGCGTCGGCGTCTCGACGAACAATAGCTAATGACGGTTGCCAAGCGATGCCGGGATCCTCAGCCCCTCGCCCAATTACTTACGCTTCATTAAGCATTTCACCGTCACGCTAGGATTCGTCCAATTTTCAAAAAAAATTGTTTCGCGAGTTTTTAGCAATTTTTTCCTTACTCTCCGTTAAAACACGAATTAAAAGAGGTCTCATTCATAAAAATCGGCCAAATAGAAGAGAAGTTACAGTATTCGAAATCCGAAGAAATCAACAAAATTTCTCCAAACAAAAAATAAAATGAAGGGGGGGGGGAATGTATAAATTACAATTTAATATGATTGACCTCAGAATGTGACGAGCAATTCAATTATAAAAAGGAGAAAAAATTGAGTGAAATTACAAAAAATTAGCCTCTTCCAAGGGGCTTCCTTGTATGAGTTTTGACCTGAAGACAAGTAAATCCCGTTATATTATTAAAACGAAATTGACTCCATAGTTTAATGCCTTGGTTTCTTGAATACGATTATTTTAAGCACTCGATTTATATCAGCAATTTTACCCATGAGGTGATTTCCTGAGAGCTGATAATATCACGAATTTCTCATAGAGCCCTTCAAAAATGGCTTGCTTTTTGGGCAGCCGATTCGGCCATCAAACCGGGGTTTAAATGGAAGCTGATAATAACACAAAGCTCTGAGAACAATTTTAAGATGAGTATAGGAACGGTTTGTACATTACGAGGAGAGGCGGGCATTCTGTTCAGCATATCGATACATAAGTATTTTCACACGTAGAATTCAATTTTCACGTCAGGGAGTCGACATATTTTGATTTTTTCGATTTTATACGGGAAATTTATGGGTTTTCGGGATTGAAATTACTTACAATTGTTTCATGAAAAATGAATGCACCCAAAATGACTATAGCATTTTGACTTTCACATACCTACGTGCACTCACTAAATTGATTGGTAAATTCAAAGAGTGGGTAGGGTACATCGACCTGATATATCAAGTTTCTGCGATTTTTTACGGCAAATCGGTAGATTTTCGGGATGTGGATTGCTTACTTTCAATTCATGAATGAATAAAGCATGGACATGGTTGAGCTTCTTTGCATGAAAAGACGTTTAAAATAACAAAATCAAGACATATTTAATACAATTGCATTTATATCGAGTCAATTTCTTTTCAATAATATAACGGGATTTATAATACCGGTGATTTGGGTATTTTAGCCCCAAAATACCTTTAAATCGACTTTATCTTCTGGGAATTCGACAGAATTTTTCCTTTCTTCGCTTAAATTTTTCCGTAGCACTTTTCTTCAAGAATCTGATAAGATTTTGCTTGAGGCGGATCAAAAAACTTAAATTTGTTCGAATAGCTTTCTAGATTCACAATACACGGTCTCGTCAAGGTGCGTCGTTGACCTTGCAGTGTTGGATCGTGAATTCTCTTGTTGTGCTGCTTGCCTTTTTTGAAATCTCTGTAAATGAAAACTAAAGGGGTTGATATGTGCGAGTTAATGACGCGCCTTATCAACGCATTGTGTTGGAGTTCACTGCTTGTTTTTGTTTTCTTTAATTTCAGAAGTCTGTTGGTCACTTCAATACGTTCAATTTTACAATTTTTACTCTGTACGATTAATGAACTTTGAACCCGAAAATAGCGTAAACTTGTGCTGCTTTGCCAAACTTTTCTGAACCCCTCTCCACGAAGGGGATGCCCCATCAGGAAATATCACATTACGCCCATTTAATCAGCCAAGGGTCTATGCCCTCAGATGCGAGCCAGTCCGATCCTGGACCCATTTCATTTGGCCGTTAAACCTCTTAAAGTTTAATAGAGGACAATTTAGAAGTCAAAAGTGGAAAGTACGCAAAACTTGAGATTATTTCACACTTAATTTAAAAGAGAGATGGAAAGAATTGCCAGTAATCATTGTTTTGAGCCCCGATCACTGAATTTGGTCTAGATTATGGAACTATCATCTCTCTTTTTGAAAACTTGTTTCCTTATCCGCTAACTTCAACCCGTAGTGGCTCCAATTTACTCAGATATTCATTCAACATATTTTGAGTTTAAATCTTCGTCAAATTATTCTCCGTTCAATCGTTTTAATAATTCATTTTAAATTTTTGGGCAGTAGGGTCTCTCCTCTCATGAATAATCACATACATTTTTGGACCAGTCCTTTGACATGTCAAGGAAGCCGTGAGATGCCTATGAATATTACCCTTTAAAACGTGAAATACCCTAAAATTTCACCTTTCAATCCCAGAATTTTTCTTCTTGCCGAAGCATCCTTTCCCACCCTCTTAAAATCGATGTTTTTACTTTTTAACGCTCGTCCTCCCTGTCAGTGGATCGTGTTTATTAATATTAAGAGCTGTTTTCACCTCAAGTTTTCAAATTTTGAGTGGTTTTTTATGTTTTTTATTTTTTCAATTTACGAGACTCGATGTTCAAATATTTTCGTGAAAAGCATATTTCATGTTCAGCATCTCGAAAATTTTAAGGAATTTATACTACGAAACTTTGAAATGTCAGAAAATGGCTGCATCTGAGTTTGTCACTTCGTAGGAGGAAGTAAGTAGGCGTGATCGGTTGGAGCATATTGGAACCCTATTCCTTTGCCTGATTTCGTCCGAGGAAAACTACTCAACGGCAATCTCTTAAAACTGCCGTAATTTTTCTGCTCTGTGAGAAGAAATTCTGCAAAAACTTCAAGGAATGATATCCATTTCTTATCCTTTAAAAAAATAATATAGAGGCAGCGATTTTCAAACACCCTTTGGTGGATCCAGCAAATTGGCAACATTGGCATTCTTCCATTTAAACTTTTAGCTGGTAATGTATCGATTCTTTGAGGGGCCAAGTGCTCTGATAAGAGTCGATTATTTAGCATAGGTTTAAATGGAAGAAATCCGATGTTGCCAAATTGCTGGATCCCCCTCTGCAAACACCGGAAACGAAATACGTGGTTGCGGACTTACGTCGTCGATGAATGGAACCGTTCGCGGAAAAAGGGTTCCCAATCCACGGGGATAAATTTTATAGCACAGCAATTTTTGTTGACTCATGGTGAAAAAAAAAAAACGGATTTGAGGTTTTGACAAGAAATGTCTCCTGCGAAAGAGTGTCCTGGCGAGTAGTTTAGTTCATTTTAAGCCGATAGAGGAAGTTAAGTTGCATTATTTCATGAAAATATTTTTTCCGGCACTTTGGTTTTTTTGAACTGCACATTTTAAAACTCCGGTTTGGTTTGGTTTGAAGTTTATGCATGGGAGTTTCTCTCTCTCCCCCCCCCCTCCACATGAAAGAAAGGCTCGTAGAGCTCTCCTCTACATCCTGACGTAAAAAACCCAACTTTGAGTTTTTCTCGTCGACTGTTGGAAGATCCCACCAAAGTGTCATATTTTCAGATAAACATGGTCTCAAGCGAAATGAGGCGATTAGATAGGCATTAAAATACCAAGTTTTCAAAGAGGAAAACACACACCTTACTTAGAACGCTCCCTTATTCTTTAAAAGCAAAAACTCAATTTAAATTAATTTCCTGGGCTGAGGTGCTTTTCCCGCGTTGGGATCACAAATGGACGTATTTATGCTAAAAGTAACCAAGCGCAAGTGGAAAGATGGGGTGTGCTCGTGGTGAGCTGGATAAGAAACAATGTAAAAGTGGATATAGTTCCTTTTGAGGAAATGGAAAAGCGGGATTTGACAATAAATCAAAAGGAACTGAGCGCTAACTCGTGAGCCGTGGACATGGGACAAGAGCGTTGTGGACAGGGCTCATGATTTAAAGCCGAGCAAGAAAGACAATAGAGACGGCTTCGTTGCCGCTGACGTCACTGGCGCTGTAAAATCCCTGTTCATTCTTATGATCCGCGCACTAACGAGCACACCCCATCTTTTTACTCGCACATAGTTCTATTAACATAAATACGTACAAATAACTGATCTAATGAAGAAATTGTATCAGTCTCAACATCTAGGAAGAACTGAAGATTTTTGTAAATGTAGCAAGGCAACTATGCAACTATTCTGCCGTGATAAGGAAGAACGCCGTATGAACATTCGAGAGTTGCCAAATTTCATTCGATAGAATGTTTATTTTTAAGGAAAATTATGAATATTTTTCCTCGACATTTTCAGACGTTTTAGATCAAATTTCAAACAAAATTATCTGAGAAATCGCCAGACATGCGTTTAAAAATTTACCCGAAAATTAGGGATTCGCCAGGGGAAATTTGGCAACGCCTGATGGCTCATACGGCGTTCTTCCTTAGCACCAGTGGCGTGGCGTGAATAATCGATTATCGCGATATCTCGCCATTTGAAGCTATGGTAAAGAATCGATTACTAAGGTGTTCGCTGCGAACACCCTGATAATCGATCTTTTTTCGTAGGTTTAAATGGCGTAACAATCGATATATCGCAATTCACGCCACAGCAGTATTACAAACTACACAACTGTTACAACTATCGTCTTCTTTTTTTACAGGGGCGCTAAGTCTCGAGTCCGATCCCGCGTCTTCAAAGAGGGAACCAGAGTCATCTCCCAGGAGCCCGATCTCCCAGACGAGGTCGAGCTAGCGAAGAAGTACGTCGGGAAGTACTTGTGCCACTGGTGCGGACGAGGCTTCGAGGAAGAACCGGAGCTCGCGATCCACCTGAAGCGCCACGTCCGAGGCTTCAACGTCGTGCGGAACTCCCAGCGCGTGCCGAAGCCGCCCAAACCCCCGAAACCCAAGAAAACCCCCCTGGAATGCGACATCTGCAAGAAGAAGTTCTGGGACAAAGCGAGGCTGGAGAGGCATTTCAAAGTGAACTGCCCGCTGGTGCCCGGGGGCAAGCCGCGGAAGCAGAGGGTGTCCCACATGTCGTACCAGTGCCCCATGTGCGATTTCGTCTCGCCGATCCGGACCGGGTTCACGAAGCACCTGCTGATCGCCCACTCGGATGCGAAGCCCTTCCAGTGCGAGATGTGCGGGCAGGGCTTCAAAGCGAACAGGAATTTGAGGCTCCACCAGCGCGTCGTCCACTCCGAGGAACGACCGTTCCAGTGCGATCAATGCGGCGACGCCTTCAAACTGAAATCCATTCTGAAGGACCATTACAACTCCATCCATAACGAGGCCAGGCCGTTCCAGTGCGAGTTCTGCGAGAAGAATTTCAAGGCGAGGAATAATTACGTGGCTCATAGACGGATCCATCTCGACGAGAGGCCGTACCCGTGTGATCTGTGTAGCTATGCCTCCAGGGAGAGCTCCCAGCTGACCAGACACAAGCGGAAGATCCATAAGGTGACGCGGAAGAATGAACCGCTGCCTCAGCCGGAGCCACCGATGGAGCCTCCGCAAGAACCGGAGTCACCGGAGGTTGATCTGTTCGCTGCGTTGAAATTCGATTAATGTTGTCCTCGTTTATTTGTTTTTAAGGTGATGCCGCAATCACGCGCTGAATGTGGGAGCTGAATGTGGCTTGAATGTGGAAGTCATTGGCCCGATGCCTGAATTTTCCGCGTGACGCGCAAAATTCAGCAACGATTCTCTGCAACCATCGGAGTAATGTTGAATTTGTCTGAACTATTCGAGTAGATTTGATACTTATCTGGATGTAAATAACTCGAATTTGCTAAATTTCAGCCGTTGGGCGACGCCTGTTGACTTCCACATTCAGTTGCTAAATTCAGCGTGTGATTGCGGCATGTTTCGACGGTTGCCATTTTTTATGTCAGAGCGACGGGCGCTTTACCGGAAAAAAAGTAGCTTGTATCTAGAGTCCAGACTCTTGAAAACGATGACAAGAAGAAATACTCTCGATTCAATCGAATTTTTGCTTAAATCAAGAACCAATCCTCTGAATTTAAGCGGATTTCCTTTTGATCCAAGTAAAAATCCGATTGGATCAAGAGTATTTTTTCTTGTCATTGTTTTCAAGAGTCTGGACTCTAGATCCAAGCGACTTTTTTTTCCAGTGTATCGCATCAGTTCGTTCCATAATTTCAGCTACTCCTCATTTTTTTCGAATTTTGAGATCGCACTTCTGTTGTCATGAGACTGAAGAATTCATGTACCAAATTTGAAAAAGAAATTCAACGGAATAAAGGCAGAGGTTTTTTAAAGGGAAAATATCGCATTCGATACTGATATCGAAACTGCACTCGAATGCGATACTTTTCCTCTAAAAACCCCTGCCTTTATTACGTTGAATTTCTTTGTCCAATTTGGTACCTGAATTCTTTAGTCTCATGACAACAGAAGTGCGATCTCAAAATTCGAAAAAAAAATGACAAGTAGCTGAAATTATGAAACGAATTGATGCGATATATCGCACGTCGCTCTAACGCACGCAAAATGACAACCGTTGAATCACCTTTCCAAAGAAAAAGATGTACCCTAATCAGGGTTGCCACAGTCAGGGAATACCGGGAAATGTCAGGGAATTTTAGAAAGTCAGAGAAACCCTGGAAATGTCAGGTAAAAACTGATAAGTACCTTTAGTTGCTGTCTGGAATGGGTTTGACATTTCGAACAACAAATTTTGCCCGAAAACTGTTTCTAATTATGTCTTTTTGACCATCTGGCGTATCTTCAATTCTCAGAGAATTTCATCAAAATTGTCAGGGAAATCAGGGAAATTCTCTCGTAAAAAAGTAATGCGCGACAGGAAATATGTAACGTCGCCACCGAAGATATGTCGTTTGTTACTTTTACCATCGATGTGAAGTTAGGTACGCGACAATACTTCCATTGGAAAAGCACTGGAAAATAAGTTATCGCCGCACACGAAAAGACTTTAAATTTTGAGCAAGCTGTCCGAGTCGCAAGTTCACCAAATTTGTGTTGCACAACAACTTAGTTTGTATTGTACGTAATTGTAGTTTTTGCTGTACTTTAATTATAGTTTGTAGTAGGTATGGGAAAAGGATATGTACAAAACTGATTAAGTCATGTAGACCATTAACTTTTGTGATGTGTAACGCCAGCTGAATCAACTGGCTCAAAATTGAAAGCCTTCTCTGTAAACAAAATTAACTTTTCTCTATTATGGAGCTGTTGGAAGTTACGTATTCCTCTAGGAAATTGATTACCGGAATTTCAGCCGTGGAAATTCGATTTATCTGGAAACTTTCAAGCGTATTTCTCTGACTTTTTTGGTTTGTCCGTTGATCTCAAATAATTTTGTCTTTTTGTATCCGTCAAATTCCTCTGTACTGACTTTTCATTTCGTTATTAAACGTAACTACTTGAAATTATTTTGCCTCAAGTCAGAATATTGATTCCGTAACCTCTGAGTCTAAATGGGGGAATTTTGCAGAAAGAATTGAATGCGTTTACATTGCGATTGTGTGTACAAAACACCCTGTAGACGTCAATAAAGCTCTGGTCACCAACAACTTGAAATTCCCTAAGTTGTTTTATATTTTATAATTGTAAAAATGTAATTTATGATTATGAAAGTGTAAATACTTTTTAATTTGAAATAAATCTTATTTTGAAGTAATTGTGCCTCTCACTTTTTCATCAGAGTAACTTGCCTTTCCCGTATAGTCCGTATACTTTTACCCTTCACCATGAATTTCAACTAACTTGAACCCATTAAAACAGTCACCAGATTGCAGGGAGAATGATAAAATCAGTTTTGTTCCTACAGTATTCATGTGACTGTCAAAGAGTTCAGAAAAATTGTCGTTGTGTTCGGAGAGAATGTCCTGAGGACAATCGCCGGCTGTCCACAAGTACAGAAGTGGATTGTTGGGACATGTACGTCATCGTCTACCGATTAATTGACCTAGCGTACCTTCAGAGTCTGCACCTTACGTCATTCTTTTTTTCCGTGTGTTTCTGAAAAAATGAGAAAAAGGTCGAGCCAGAGAAGAAGAGGAATGAAGACTATGAAGTTCTATTTTCCCCCCTTTTTTTGCGCTCGAACTTTCTTTGACCTCCAAAAAGCCACACTAAATTGTCTAATATTATTTTCTAACGTCTGTAGACAATTCGGACTGTCCCATTTTCAAACTGTTTCGGCAGAATATTCAAATTAGAGGTTTTTAATATTTTCTTTATCTTCAATAATTAATCATTTTTTGGTTCTTTGCGGTTTACTCTGCGGTTCATTTTTTTTATCATGCTCATTACTGGCAATGCTTTTTTTTTTTTTTCCAGGAAAATTGCCAAGAAAAAAGTGCGCCTAGTCGTCCAGTCAGAGGACGCCGATATCCAACTGAGTACGTTGAAATTTCAGGATCAAACAAGCGAAAGAGAGGAAACGAACCTATTCAGATGTTATAAATGTGAAGTAAAATTTAAGGAAAAATCCGAATTTGTTGCTCATTGGTTAGAGCATGTCCGAGGCAACTTAGAGGAAACCTCAAAGAAAAAGAAGAAGAAAAGTTCACTTAGATGCATAATTTGCAAGAAAAAATTTGCGGAAAAATCTATTTTGAAGAAGCATGCACGCGAAGGGTGTCACCTGTTGATAGGAGATCCGAACGATGATTCAAACGTGAGCGGACAGTCGAAGTTATCTCGTTGTTCTTTCTGTGATTACAGTTCCAATAGTCGAGGTCATTTAAAAAGTCATTTAGTGATACATTCAGATTTGAGACCCTTTAAATGCCAACTTTGTGGCCTTTCCTTCAAAATGAAGTGCATTTTGAAAGAGCACCAGCGTACTCATTCTGAGGAAAGATCTTTTAAATGTGATGAATGTGCAGTTTCATTTAAGCAGCGAAAAGGCTTATCTATTTATTGCCAAACTGCTCACTCCGATCTTAGACCACACAAGTGTAACGTGTGTAATAAGCGGTTTAAGAGGAAATTTATTCTGAAACAGCATGCAATTGTGCACAGCAATCTGAGGCCTTTCCAATGCGACCTTTGTGATCACTCTACGAAACGAAGATCACATCTATACCGCCATAAAAGAATAGTTCACTACAAAGTGTAATTGGACAGAGATTACGCGCGACACGAAATTGGACGTATTTCTGCCAAACGGAACCAGAGACAGGCGGGAAAGAAAGAGGTGTGCTCGTTGATCGAGAGCTGTAAGAATGAATGGGAACTGTAGAGCGCCAGTGACGTCAGCGGCATCGAAGCCGTCTCCGTTGTCGCTCTTGGTCGGTATTAGCCAAGTAGCAGTGATCGCGATAAGTAGCGATTTATCGGTTGATTATCGCGATTATATCGGTTGCAATATATCGAGGTATAATCGCATTAAAAATTGCGGTAAATGGCGATCAAATCGCTACACATCGATTTTTGGTTGTATAAAATTGCTATCAATTTTCGTCGATAGAATCGAGATTAAATCGCCGTTTATCGCGATTTTTCCTTCGAAAATATCGCGATAAATCGAGGACACCGCACCAAGAACAGCCTATAACTGGAAATAACCGCGTTTTGAGAAAAACGCATTTAAAGTTTTGTTTTTGATGTACTGCGCAGACTTTTTTATGCAGGTACCCTGTTTTGGTGTTTTTGGGTGGCCTAACCCTTCTATTGAAGGATGCCGGGTAGATTTTGCGATACATTTTGGATTCACACCCTAATATATTTAATTTAAAAAAGCGGTTTATAGGCCATTATTACGCCCAACAGTCATTTTGGTGGCAATATGAAGTATAAATCATTTTAATCGCGCATGATTAACGCAAAATGAAAGAAAATCGATAGTGAGTAGAGAGAGGGGTAACTTGCACATTATAGGCCCGTTTATAGGTCGTTCTTGCACCCATCGATCCAGAGGCCTGACTTAACTCGGAAAAAAAAGGGTTTTTCGACCTCGAGCCGTTACCTATCTACATATATTCTATCGCTACCATAGCATAGTCCAGGGTACGTAGAATCCGAAAAGCAGACGGGCGTAATAACGACCTATACGCCTATAGGATGTTCTTGGTGCGGTGTCCTCAACTGTCGGGCAATAAAAGCGAGATTTTATTGCGATAAGATCGAGGATAATCGCTCAGACGTTGCTGATCCTGGCGATTTCATCGCGATTTTTCCTTCGAGAAATGCTACTTGGGTAGCATGAGCCCTGTCCACAATGCTCTTTTCCCATGTCCACGCTCACGCTCATGAGTGCCACATTCAGTTGGCACGTAGCTCCGTTTAACAGAATTTAAAATCCCACTTTTCCATTCCTCCAAAGGAAATCACGCCCACTTTAACATCGTTATCTTCCTTCCTGGAGCACACTCCATCTTTCCTACTCATCGAAAGTTCCGTTTGGCAGAAATACGTTCAACTGGCATTCAAATCAGGAGTCTCACTTTAGCGAGATACTAGAATTAATCATTCGAACTGCAAACTGATTGCACGTATTGTAACTTTGCTTGCAGAATCGCTTTGAAATCTACATCAGTCGAAAGGAATTCAACAGTGGCGTGGCGTGAATGATCGATTATCGATATTTCACCATTTGAAGCTGTAGTAAAGAAACGATTAGCAAGGTGTTCCCTGCGAATACCTTGATAATCGATCCTTTTCCATAGATTAAATGGCAGATCAATCGA